AGAGCTTCATAGTTCAACCCTTGGCCTCCATTAACTGTAACAGCTTTGATACGTAGGGATTGCAATTGTATGGATTGGATGGATTTTGGAATTGATCATAATGCATGGACAAAAAGTAAACCATTAATCCATTTAGGATCCGTTAAAATCATCCAAACCATCCATGACCTATTTTAATGGATGAATATCTGATCCATCCAAATCTATTTTAATCAATAGGATGGATGGATATCCAACCTACTAATTTGAAATCATATTTAAAAAAAAAAGTTTTTTCACACTCTCACTCTCTCTGTGTGACCTTATCACTTATCTGTGAGCAAGATGTGTGGTGGATTGTGGGTTTAAAGAAGAGCTGACATAGTTATTGAAGAAAGAGGAAGGGGTATCCATTAACCGTCCAATAAATATTTTGGTTGGTCCATTAAATACCCATTAACTAAAATGGACCAAATCCTTCTAGTCCATTAAATCAATTACTGTACTTGGATAGATTGGATTGATATTAGATATGGTTGGACCTGATGGATGATGGATGATGGATTAATGTATTTAATGGCCACCCTTAATAGTGCTAAAAGAAGATATCTGCGGTCCTTAGGTTATCCTTTATTCGGTTGTGCATATGATATGCATACGCTTGCCTTATTGTTGCAATCTAATATTGTGCTTGCCATCTTTGGTGCAATCTATTTATTTATCATGTTTGGCAGTTTCCTTGCAAAGATTTCCAGAAGTGTATTGGAATCAGTTATTTTGATGCATGGTTTTGCGAAATGGTTTTCAATGCCATCAAAATATGATATGATATTATGATGATTCAATTTCTCTAATATCTACATGTCAGGATTGAACTGCAATAGTGCATGCAAATTCATTGCCACCTAATGTATAAATTGGTTTTTAAATCAGTACAATCTTGGTATGTTGTCTCAGTATTGTATCTTGATGATGCAGTAGCGACAACCTGAATTTACTTCTTACTGAATACACTATGGGTTGTTATGGTTGGCAGTATGAACAAATAATGTTACTGGAATTGCTTAAGAACGGCCATACAGAGCCTGATAAAAAGATTGGAGGAGGAATCCGAGCTTTCCAAGTCCGCAGGCATTCTATGTGGAAAAGTAGATGCTTCTTCCTCATTAGGGAGGATGAATCTGTTGATGATTTTAGCTTCCGTAAATGTGTGGATCATATTCTTCCCCTGCCCGAAGAGATGCAATTGAAACCTGATGTGAACAAGGCATTTGGCGGTTCTGGTGGAGCAAAGCATCATGGAGGAAGGGGTGGCAGTGGGAGAGGAGGTGGGCGTGGTCATGGAAGAAAAGGAATGTCGAGACGTTGAGTACAATGTGTACTGTTGGTCTTAGTTGTATTTTGAGATATAAAATGTCTTTTTGTATACTTGACCAGCTTATTTCATGTTTCCTGCTAGTAACTGTATTATTCAGATTGTGACTTTTTATTATTTGCGGTTATATTTCAGTCCTGAGCCTTTCTAAAATGATGCCTTACTTCAACACAAGTTCAGTCGATAATAACCAATTTGGTTTTTCTTACGGTCTCATTTGTATGGTACCTCAACGTTAGAGCACTCATTGGTTGGAATAGTATTTTTGTTCTTGGGTATGCGAGGGCATGCGGTTTTGTCTGCAAATGTTACAATCTGTTCGATTCTTACCGTTTTGTATTGATTCGTTGTTGTAGCATTCTCGTCACTTTGCGGCTTAGCGGCTTATATATGTATATATAATCGAGTACGTGGATTGATTATGACCTAAAACCCAAGGAAAGAGTCTTTTTTTTTTTTTTGCTTAGTTATTGCTCGAAAAATCTAGATATTTGTTAAATCACCTTTTAAAGGAAAAGAGAAGAAAAAATGTATTCACTATTTTTATGATAAATGAGACTTTATGATCAATTGAATGTCTTGTATTAGCTGGATAGCGGAAGCCTTCGTACCAATCTCTACTTGTTCTACCTAAACAATAATTAGTGTATGTGTTTATATGTATACAATTTTTTTTATAAACCACAAGTATATTTTATGGGAGGTAATCCTGTTTAGAGCGGATCCATGATTAAGGTTTTAAAATTCTTCCAAAAATAATACTGTGGAGGATCGAACATACTCTTATCCTCACCTACTCAGTTTTCATACGCCAACTGAGCTATCATCAGTTATATATGTTTGTTTTAGATTGTTTTGAAGGCCTCCAACAAAAGGAATTGTTATTTTTGGGGATATATAACAAATATATCTTCCTTCAGTAAAAATGATTGCAACCTAGCGCAACGCTTATTATATTATTGGTTACCTTTCCCTTTTCATGACATTTATATGTAATTTGGTCATCAACGCAAGGATTCTTCATTAGAAGGTAACTTGTAATTTACGTTAGATAATAGAGTGGATAGCAGCAGGTTTTTACTGAACCCTATATTTAGGGATTAAAATTACCGATGAAGAAAAATATTAAGACTTGTACTTGATGTTTCCCTACCTTGCATTTATGAATTTATGCAGAAGAAATAGGGACAAAATGACCTTAAAATTAGATCTGTCTTGTAGTAGAACTTTTAAATCTGTCCCACTAGGGTAGGACGTGTATTTGTCGGTAACATAAAATTGTTAATTTCACTACAAATTTTGGCTAAATATAATAGTTTATATTGATCTTACAATGATAAAAACCTTTCCTTAAAAAAATAAAAATAAATAATAATAATAATTATGATAATAAAATTGTACAATAGAAATCTGAAACAGACATGCTCTTGTATGTCTCCATTAGGAACACATGGATGTCGCAAATGATGTGCAAACTGCGAACTCTTTCAATTATCCATAAAGTCAATTAATATAGAAAAATATTATCAATCAACTGCACTTTCCTTTGAAGAAAAACAAATTATTCAATCAATTTTAGGAGAGCATTTTGGGTACAATGGTGATATTGAAAATTTGATGCCAAGTTGTATTTTACACTGAATCTGATTAGTAAGACTTAACGTAACTGTAAAGTACAAAAGTAACTTTTTTATTCTTTTTCTTAAAAAAAAAAAAAAAAAAGTTGTAGTCGTAAATGCATAGGTGGTATTATAGATTTTTTTCCAATTTTAGACTTTGCAATTTAATATCCATCCTCGCGTATCTAGCCCCTTCTCACATGGGCTACTTTAGAATCCACTCCACAGAAGGGGCACGTGCGAGGCAAGCTGTCTCGTCCTATGTATACCTTCCTCCCCCTACATTTATATAAAATTATAAATATTATGTTTATTTTATTTATTAATAATGTTAATTATTTTATTTAGTTCTTTATTTATCTTTGAATATATTTTTTAGTTTATATGAGATGAGTAATTGATTTTTAGATGATAGTCATAACTTATAAGCATGGAACAGACAAAATTAAACATGATCAGGAAGTTTTGATATTTTTAACGAATTGAAGGTAGGTGGGCAAGGTTGATTGACTAAAATATCCGCTTATATCTTTCCCATCTCCGATCCTTATTAATTTTTGCAAGTATAAAACAATTAATTATGGATTAACACACACCATCACTAAGTTCTCTTCGTAACATAAAGGTTAAAATGATTAATGTTTTTTATGAGTCCGTTACGCATCTATCTGGTTATGATACTCGTGAGTTCATTTCGTTCGCCTTCGATCAGTTAAAACTTAAAACGCAGGAATTAATTAATTAAAGGATTTCAATTATGCTTAAGGTTTATCATAAAAGGTAATAAAATCAATGATGCATGAGAAAAAAAGGAATAAATATTAAATAACATTTTCGTGTTTATTTCGCTCCAATAGTAATGATTAATTGCTAGAGTTTAGGAAGTCGGAAGGAGAGGCTAATGATTGTGATTTATCGCATTATAATTTGTTGTATTCTCACGATTGTGTGTTCAACTTTCAGGTCTATTGCTTGGAAGAAAACCATAAACGTGTGGCTCCCATGCATGCATGGTCTGAAAGCCCTATCTTTTCAAGATTATTTAACCGAGGTTGATCAATATAGTGTAGCTAGTGGAAACTTAGCATGCCTATTAGTCATTCCCAACCAAATTCATTGAAGTTAATTGGCTTTACGAATTGATGATTGATGGGAGCACTTTCTGAACATAATTATGAGGCTATAGGTTGAACACCCTCGTTTTTATTTTATTTAGTCTAAGTCGTAGCTACCACATCTACTATAACTAGCTACTAATCAATTAATCTCCGTATTTCCCTCACCCTCTCTTCACTGCATGGAGCATAGCCATTGAAGCAGAACAAAAATAAAAATTATCCAATATTTGGATAATGGATCTCCTTTAATTTTCAACAATCGATTTGTTCAATTACAAAGAAAAGAGTAGAATCAAATTCATTAATGGTCTAAAAGCATAGCTAGCGCAGTTCTATTGTAGGCTACAAAACAAAAGATTAGTAGACCTAATCATCTTACTTGTTGACAACGTGACAAACGGATCAAAGGATCCTAAAAAAGATAAAAAAAACTTCCACATGCACAAAAGGTTCCCTCGCGATCTCTTTAACGAATATAGAATCTATACATCAACGAACAAGAGATAAATAAAGTATAAACTTGTATTTTTTTTAAAATAAATAAATAACAAAATTCTCTGTTTTGATTCGGATAACATAAACAGAAGCACGTGAGAAATTCAAGAGGGGAAAATAAAAAGAAGAAAAATAAAAAGTGAGTGATTTTTATTTTATTTTTAATTTTTTTGGGTTGAATGGAACGGTGAGATAATGAACACAACCTTTGGATATATCCTTGTAATTAATTCATCTTGTAACTCTCACAGACCATTAAAACTCATAGGCGGCGCGCACATTCTCTTAAGTTACAATGATTTACTGTTATCATCATACATCGTATTTCGTATATATTGCCAACTTCCTTTTGTATCTCACACTATCCTCTTGAAGCAAGTGCTAGAAGCTTTCTTCACTCTCTTCAGCATGATCATGGATACTCAAATGGGTTGGCGCTCTTACTATGAAATAGATGAAAACCCATTTCCATTTACATGCCAGTTTTCTTACAGGTAAACCATGAAACTTGTGTTATATATCATCTCCTTTTTACATATTGCCATGAAATATTCAATCTTTGACGACCAGGGTTTCTTAAGTTCTCATTGGAATGTCTTTTCTCAGCGGAAATGGTAATGAGTATCCTGCACTAGATTGGTCAAATGAATTTCCCATACAAGATGGTTATCTTGATGCTGTTCCTCTTATGGAGTGCTACCCTTTAGATCCTTTGTATGAAACTCTCGCCATTGAACCAACACCAAGCGTGCAAGTGCAAGGTTATCATCAGCACATGAGTTTCCCTACTCTTTATATATTATATATTACTACTACTTTAAATTGTACTTTTCCTTATTTAGATATTGGTTATGTTCTCAATGTTACTACTGCAGATAATGATTTTTATAATATTAAAAAGGGGCTTCCTGTGTGGAATGAGATTGATGCTGGGTTCGATTCAGAAAATGCTTTTGCATTTTGTAACAACGAAGAAAATGGGAAGGAAATGATAAAAGATGGGGAGGTTAAGCGAGGAAGAGAAGAGAGAAGTAGCAACATTAGAATGTTATCAAGGAAGACCATATCTCAGTACTTCTACATGCCCATAACACAAGCAGCAAGGAAGCTTAATGTTGGCTTAACACTTTTGAAGAAAAGGTGCAGAGAGTTGGGAATCCGAAGGTGGCCACACAGGAAGTTGATGAGTCTGCAAACCCTGATAAATAATGTTCAGGTTCGTTCTCATTGTGTGAATATTGCCAATACATACACATATCCTAATATGTTAATATGATAATATAGTTATAATTTTCCCTTATTTGGTGGGGTTTGCAGGAACTGGGGAAAGAGGAGGGGCAAGAGAATGAAGAAAAGTTAAGGAATGCTATTGAGATATTAGAGAAGGAAAAGAAACTCATGGAGGAAATGCCAGATATGCAACTTGAAAATAATACAAAAAGACTTAGACAAGCTTGTTTTAAGGCCAACTACAAGAAGAGGAAGCTCATCGGGTTGAAGGAAGGACGTGCTACAACTACTGACCCAATGGGTGAATATAGTTATGACGAAGATGAACGAGATATTGAATCTCTGTTGTCTGTTACACAGTCGTCTTGCAATCTAATGTTCTAGCTAGTGTTAATTATATATAGGAAGGGATTGGGGTTGGTGTTCTTCTGTTTTTTTGTCGTTTTGGTATAACGGTTGTTCTGTTTCTGGAATATGTTCATGTCAGGATTGCAAATGTTTTAAATTTTAAAACAGTTCCGACCTTTTTATGTTATCTCAGTAATGTATCTTGATGATGCAGTAGCCACAACGTGAGTAATGAGTATAAATATTCTTACTGAATTTACTATGGGTTGTTTTGTGTGGCCGTATGAACAATATGATGGGAGGATGAATATATTGATGATTTAAGCATTCCATAAATGTGTGGTTTTGAAGAGATGAAATTGAAACTTGATGTGAACAAACCATTAGGTGGTTCTGCTTGAGGGAAGTGTCATGCTAGAAAAGGTGGCCAGTGAGTACAATATTTCCTGACTTGCTGATGGTCTTAGTTGTTTTTTGAGATCTAAAATGTTTCATGAATACAGCTTATTTCATGTTTCCTGTAATTAACTATATAATTCAGATTTTTACTTTTGCACTACATATAATTATTATTTGCAAAATTATGCCTTTTTTATTCAAATGTGACAAGGGGAGCAAATACAATGTAGTTATGCTATATTCACGTAAATGGCCAAAAAAAATAAAAAGAAGGTACTTGAACTTATAAATTCATCACTATTTAAGATTATAATTTGCTCTAGTTCTAAAATCTGCAATAGCTGGGTACAAACGTTTAACAATCTGCGCCACTTCCTGACAGTTTTTAATAGATTCAATGATCAAGTACCGTCATCCCTTGACGGTTTTGGAACAAGGCCCCTCGTTAAAGTATGGTTTATGTTTATCTTATTTTACATGAGATAAATAACTTTCTTACACATACACAAAAAGATTGGGTCCCACCCAGGGGCGGACCCAGTAGGGGGCTAGGGTGGGCTTCCGTCCCCCTCTAAAATTTGGAAACTTTTTTTATAATATATGTAGAAAAATGTGATGATGAAATTACCGTGTTGTACACATTTTTTTCCTTCAGTTCACCATGCTTCTGTCCACACTCTTACCCATATTCTGTGTTCCGTCCATCACCAACCTCCTTCTTCAGCCTTTCAATTTTGACTGTGTAAATTCTAGAGCCAGACAGAATCAACTTCCACCTTTCTAAGATTTGCATCTATCTATAGTCATAGACTATCTTTGAAAAAAAAAATTATTTTGAGTTTTAGCACAGATTCAATTATATTTGAGTTTAATAATATGAAAACACGTAGAGCAAGAGTAAGTGAAGTGATATTAATTCTTGTAATAGATTTCTTTCAATTTTTTGTATATTAAGTTTGTATTGTATTTCAAGTACTTGTATTTATGATATAGAATTTTTTTATTTTCGTCCCCTCTTATTAAAATTTCTGCGTCCGCCATTGGTCCCACCACTCTTTTTTTTTCTCTCTTCTTATCTATGGGTCCCACTTGTAATTTTATTTCTACAACATAAGGTAACTATTTTCTTACAACATAAGAAAAGTATTTTCCTTAAACTATTAAGTAGAGATAATTTAAGATTTTCTGGTGGAGCAAAAATTGAGTTAAGATCAAATTGGGATTTTACGTATATACATTAATGTTATATAAACATACAGTATAATTTATAAAATAATCCTGCCCTATATTAATATTAATAATTTTTAACTTATATTAGTCTAATTCAATAAGTAAATGTAAATAGGTAAAATAAATTAAAGTTAGGGTCTGATGCTTGTCATTTTAAATGACATAAGTTATATCATTTTAGGAGAAAGATACAAAAAAATAGAAATCATGAAGGAGAAAGTTGATGGTTATTTTTTTAATTTAAAATTTAAATAAAAAAATATTATTTTGTGTCTATCTCTCTCTTAAAATGACAAATATTTTCCCCTTAAATGTAACTTCTTATTACATTAGAAGTTTTTATTTATAAACAATTGACAAGAAGAAATGATAGTTTTGATTGTGAATTGATAATTTATAACTTTTTGTGATATGATAATGACAATGTCATTCCCAGTGGCGTATAAAACGTATTCATTATTTTTCTAGTGAATGGACAAAGTATTCATTACAATGCTTATCAATGACCATTTATATTCCATTATGAGTCTTGCAATAGGATGGCGCCCAAACCTTTTCACTAAATACTACATATATTATTTACAAAAAAAAATACTAAATATATTATTTAGATTTTATACAATAATTAAGAGCTATACTATTGTAAGTGTCTGGTAAATAACTCAACGAGTTCAGTTGATAAATGTTGAGTAGATGGGACTCCCATCATGGGAGAGAACTTTTAAATACATTTTTTAGAAGAGGGAAAGAACTTTAACCGTATTCAAACCCAATTATCAGGATTAGTTTTTGAGTTTTATTAATCTCCTTTTACATCAGATAATTATCTTATGTCGTAGAGAGAAAATGGGTGGGTCCCACCATTGTAAGAAAAAAAAAAAAGATAGGGTGCGAAAATCGAAGTGAGAGAAAATGAGATAAGATGTCTCATGTGAAATGAGAGTAATATTTTTCTTAGTTTTTATAACTATGAGAATCGGTATATCAAAAATAAAAATAAAATTAATGGTTAAAATTTTTTAACTCATTATTTTTTTACATATTCCAAAAACCTTTATCCGCTAAATTATTATTATTATTATTTTAATTTATGTAAAATGATGGGACTTGTAACTATTTTTTTTTTTTTTTCGATAAGTATATCTATCATGGACGTGGCAAATCATGGGCAAACCTTTCAGTTCATTAGCCTTGAAGCCAATACAAATGATTGGCAACCCACTCCTCCTTGGCCATAAAGAGAAATAAACTATGGGAAAAATATATATCGGTTTAATAGATATAAAGTTGTGTCATTTTAAAAGAGAAAGAGATAGATAAAATAAGAGTGGGAGTTGACAAAAAAAATAAAGGTGTGGATACCACTTCTTTATAGAGTAAAATAATATTGTGTTATTTAAAAGGATAAACATCTTTTCCAATTCAATCAATTTTTGTTAATGCAAAACTATCAATTATGGATTGAGAGTAACTTATACCATCACCAAGTTCTCTTCATAACAGAAAGAGAAAAATGATTACTGTTTTTAATGAACCGTTACAACTCAAATGAATCCTTTTTGTACTTCTTCTGTATCATTTCGCTCTTTATCTCTGTCTGTGGAGCATGATCATGGAGACTCAGCCACTTTTTTTTTTTTTGAAAAAATTTAGCATTGATTATCAAGGCGAGAGAAACTATATTGACATTTTCGTAAGAAAGTTTCACAATTGACTCTGAACATGGGTACAGTAAGGTTCATGCCTATTCAAATGTCACTGGACTCGTTCTTAGTCTCACACAACATTTACTCATACTCAAACCCTTCTCTTTCTTTCTCTTGTTTCCCTGCTGCCACCATTGGCATTCATCTCCTTCACTATTATACCACTCCTCAAGTGGAACCTCCAACCAAGTTAGTGCCTTTTACACCCCACAAACAAAACCAACCAACACCCATCTCTTTTTTTCCTCAAACCCACAAAGAACCGATGATTTCTGCCATAAAATCTGCTTCCCGTAAGACCCAATTGCTCCAAATCCACGCTCAAATATTACGTACAACCCTCATTCAAGACCCCGCAATTTCTCTTCAGTTCTTGTCCCGGGTAGCTCTCTCTGGCCCGTTGCAAGACGCCACCTATTCCCATCGTTTCTTTGAACAAATCAGCTACCCCTCGGTTTCCCATTACAACACCATCATCAGGGCCTATTCCATGAGCGGTTCACCCCAAAAGGGTCTCTTTTTATATCGAGATATGAGAAGACGGGGCATTGCTGCAGACCCTTTATCATCTTCCTTTGCTGTTAAGTCCTGTATCGGGTTTCTCTATCTTCTTGGAGGGGTCCAGGTTCATTGTAACATATTCAAAGATGGGCACCAATTAGATGCCCTTTTGCTCACCGCTGTGATGGATTTGTATTCGCAATGCCGGAAATGTGATGATGCATGTAAGGTGTTTGATGAGATGACTCAAAGGGATACTGTTGCTTGGAATGTAATGATCTCCTGCTGTATTCGAAATAATCGGACTCGGGATGCTTTGAGTTTGTTTGATGTTATGCAGAGTTCAAGGTTTAAATGTGAGCCTGATGATGTTACTTGTTTACTTCTTCTTCAGGCTTGTACTCACTTGAATGCCTTGAAATTTGGGCAACGAATTCATAGTTATATTATAGAACGTGGTCATGGGGGTGCTCTCAATTTGTCTAATTCTCTCATATCTATGTATTCACGGTGTGGTTGTTTAGATAAGGCTTATGAGGTGTTTAAGGGAACGTGTAATAAAAGTGTGGTTTCATGGAGTGCAATGATCTCTGGTTTGGCAATGAATGGATATGGAAGAGAAGCTATTGAAGCATTTGAAGAGATGCACAGAATTGGCATTCGGCCTGATGATCAGACATTCACGGGTGTCCTTTCTGCTTGCAGTCATTCTGGATTGGTCGATGAGGGAATGTCATTTTTTGACAGTATGAACAGAGAGTTTGGGATAACTCCCAACGTCCATCATTATGGGTGCATGGTTGATCTCTTAGGCCGTGCTGGCTTACTTGATAAGGCTTATCAGCTTATTACGTCAATGGTGGTAAAGCCAGATTCAACAATATGGAGGACCTTGCTTGGGGCTTGCAGAATTCATGGCAATGTTACACTTGGTGAACGAGTAATTGGACATTTGATTGAACTGAAAGCTCAAGAAGCTGGGGATTATGTTTTGCTCCTAAATATTTATTCTTCTGCTGGACATTGGGAAAAGGTAGCTGAAGTGAGAAAATTAATGAAAGAGAAAGCAATCCAAACCATGCCTGGTTGTTGCACAATTGAATTGAAAGGAGTAGTACACGAGTTTGTTGCAGATGATATTTCACATTTGAGAATAACTGAGATTTATGAGACACTGGATGACATTAATAAGCAGCTCAAGATTGCTGGTTATGTTGTTGAACTTTCATCTGCGTTGCATAAGATTGATGACAAAGAAAAGGGGTATGCGCTTTCTTATCACAGTGAAAAGTTGGCTATTGCTTTTGGGGTTCTTGCTACTCCACCTGGCACAACACTGAGAGTGGCCATTAATCTCCGTATATGTGTTGATTGCCACAATTTTCTGAAGCTTTTTTCTGGAGTTTACAACCGTGATGTGATTCTTAGGGACCATAATCGGTTTCACCACTTCCGGGAAGGGCACTGCTCTTGTAGCGACTATTGGTAGGGATATCTTGGGCTGGTGATAGATGAGTCAGATCGAGCACCGAGGATTAGTAAAATGACTGGATAAGGGATTGGATACCCTTGCCCGTGGTTTATTGGAGAACGAAATTTTATACTTGATGAATAAGGGATTAGTGGAATGGGAATGGATACTCTCATGTTATATTATATGAGATAATGTAAAAGAATTTCATCCTTCCACATATAAATCAATAGTTATTCTTTTCTCAACTCTCATTTGATTTGTATTTGAACGATTGAGATCTCTCGTATGAATATATGATCTATGTGACATGAGAGGTTCCTTAATAGTTAATACCATATATATAACTACTACTAACGGGGTTTTAAACTGCATTTCAAGCGGGTAGGCTAGCTCGCCATTGCTTTTATTCAAGTCTATTAATTCATAGTACCCTTCACATGTTTGTCTGTAACCTAGGACTTTAGTTGACTTTGTCTCAAGTTGGTAGATAGATCATACAAGGTTGTTCCTGAGGCACACAATATAGGACACCTGTCGAACACCGAAGGCCTGAATGAGAAACATGGAAAGGGTCGCTGATATCTTTATGCCTGCAATCTGAGAAATTTGGTGGTGGCATTTTTTAGAAAATTTGTTTATACTGAAGGATGTCTATATCTGGATTAGTACAAAAATACTGCGTGGAAGGTTTGTCCTCTAGTACTCAAGGGGATTTTGTTTGTTATCCATCGTCCACGAAGACACGTTTCGAGGAAATCTGAACCAACTTTTCTGAGCGAATCATATTTTATGGAGTCCGTATATTATTTAAGGGAAACAGCAATAAAATATTTTTATGATGCCAAGTGATTCCCTTTGCATTTGGTTCAGAAAACAGCATCTGTCAGTTTGTTATTAACCCAAATCATTCTCACCCTTCTGGCTAAGAATATGGTAGTAGTATCTTTACTTACGTTTGGGTAAAGGCGCATGTAAATGTAATTGTAATCTAATTGATTCCTAATAGAGAAGAGATACTTCGAGCACATGTTGCAAGTTCAATCAGGCCAGCATAGTTGGTTGAAATATGTGTCTGTAAGAGAGAGATTTTTTAAAAAACCAAATAACTGGTCCAATGGTCATATTATTCAAAAGCAACGTTTACGTTTTCCAATTCAACATGATAATAGTGACATGTTTTAGGATTTCTGACCAAAACTCAAGCTCAATATATAGAACAGAAATGGAAGCTCCCTCCTGTTCTAACAAAACTTGAAGTAGAATTGATACTACGGAGAATTTGAATGCTAAGTTTTGGAAGCAGTAATGATGCTACAACAAATCCGCAACCTAAGTTCTCTAAGTAGTATTTATGCTCAAATAAATCCAAACCCAAGAGATCCCCCGTAGACATTCTCTTATAAGGACACTTGCTACTAAAATGCTTTGTCAAAGGAAAGTTAAGCAGCAACTGTTTGCTTCTGAGCAAAAGCAATCCCCTTGTCAATGCTGGCTTTAAGTTCTGGCTTAAGCGCTTCCAAAGCCTTCTGCTCATAGTCAGTCAACCCTTGGAGGTCTGATGGAATCAAAGCCTCAACTCCTTTCCTACCAAGCTTCACCCTTGAAGCAAAATACGGAAGCTCAGTCAGATCTGATTGTACAAATGTGCACTCGTACACATCCCCATCTCCATCAAGTGCACGAAGAGATGATTCAACAAATCTAGCTGCTGCATATGCCATCGACAAAGTAGCAGACCCTGCACCTGCCTTTGCTTCCACAACTTCAGTTCCAGCATTTTGAATCCTGACAGTTAACTCCTCAATTTCCTCATCAGTGAAACTCACTGAGGGTTTTGTCTTCGACAACAGAGGAAGAATGGTTATCCCAGCATGGCCCCCAACAACTGGGACATCAACATCAATCAGCTTCAGGTTCTTCTTCTGAGCAACAAACGTGTTTGCCCTCACAACATCCAGCGTAGTAACACCAAAGAGCTTCTTAGGGTCATACACACCCTTCTGTTTCAGAATTTCAGCAGCAATAGGCACTGTAGAGTTCACTGGGTTACTGATAATGTGAATAAAAGCACCAGGGCAATTATCTGCAACAGCCGAAACCAAGTCTCGGACTATGCCGGCATTGATGTTAAAAAGGTCATCGCGAGTCATGCCGGGCTTCCTTGGAACTCCAGCAGGTATAACAACAACATCCACCCCTTTCAAACAATTCCCTAACTCAGAAGCTCCTGTGAAATCCCTGACTTGTGAGGGTGTGTTGCAATGACTGAGATCAGCAGCAACTCCCTTGACATTCGCAATATCATAGAGATGAAGGTCAGAAACTAATGGGGACATCTTGATAAGAAGTGCAAGCGGCTGACCTATCCCTCCAGCAGCACCAAGAACCGCAACTTTGAAGGATGCCTGAGGCTGCAAGTGGAAGAACCGGAGGTTCTGGTTTTCCTTTTGAGCTTTGGATGCAAAAGATGCCCGGAGAGCAGAACTAGTTTCCTTGCCGGAGAAGGATAATTCCGAGTCACATCTCACAGATGACAAGGCCTTGAGGCCACAGAAGCTCTTCAAATGATTCTGGGAGTTAAACTTCAACCCTAAAGGCTTTGATTGAGGAAGTGAACTCCCTCTTTGACCGAGGGAAGTGCTGCTTCCAATTGTGAAGGTAGCTGCTGATGCTGCTGCCATCTCAACCTCTGTCATACACATAAACCATCATGTCTATTCCATTAAAACACAAGCACACCCACAAATATAAATTAGGGCAAGATGCATCTAAATAACAAACCAAATCACTCGTATTTTAATAGTAAAAAAAAGGAGTAATCATTATTGCCTACTCTACTGCGAGAGCTGAAATCAAAACTTGCATACTTTATTGAGATTAATTAATCGGAGCATAATTTAAATGAAAATCGCAATATTTCTAACGGTAACAGCAGAAAGGGTTTCGAGAAGTTAGAATAAGAGCAGATCTAGAAATCACAACCTTGCGAAATTCAAAACAATTCAGGCGAAGGAGTAGAGAGAAATGAGATCCGTAAACGAACAAAGTAGAAAAGGTACCTGAGGAAAGGGAACTTGAGAGAGAGAGAGAGAGAGAGAGAGACAGATTTAAGAAGGAACGTTCTGATTGGAATCTCCGCCTGTGGTTGGTGGACGAATGGTAACACCCGCCCAATACACAGAGAATAAATATAGACACCGCAAACAAGAAGTTCTAAGAGAATCAATCTGGTATCTACTCCCAAAATGCTTCTTCACTGTCCTGACAAATCTTCACCGTTCAATCCCTCAACGCCTCTCCTTATTATATTCTACGTTGCACCACATATACACGAGACACGAGATATCACACGATACAACAAATATTAATTTTAAAAAGTATTAAATTTTAACACACACGTTCTGATATTATATAATATTTTTAATTTATATAGTATATATTATATTTAATATTCAATAATTTAACAAAAAAATAAAGTTAAACTTATAATACCCATCAATTTTACAAAGAAACGTAAGATATCCCAAATGTTTATATTAAACTCAATAAAATAGTAATCGTAATTCAACGAATCTAATAGTTGGAACTCAAAATGTAATACAACGTAATCTTTGAACATTTTTTGAGTCTTTGCAACGAGTATTGGAGTGTTGAAAAATGTCAGAAAGTGTCAGAGACGACACGTCAGAAATTTTGAAGTATCAGTGTTTTGTGGATTATATCTATATTCATTAGTAATTTAGTATAATTTTTTTTTAAATTAATACTAATATTATTAATTATATATTGTATATGATGCCTCTTGATATAAAACCGTTATGAGAAATGATTAATTATATTATTCAATGCACAGCATGAAAAAATAATATATATCGAAATATAAAATAACCCATACTATTCACTCCTGAGAAAAATAATATGTAGTAAAATTGAAATCAATTTTCAACATTATGCTTATTTATATTTTAAAATTTTTATTAAATATATATTATGAAAATTATATATGTAAAAAGTTGACATTCTCACTGCTTGCAGCATAATGTGTTATTTGTAACTAAATAATTGTTGATAAAACTTAAGTTTACTTCACTTTAAGTGATAATAATTTTTGTATGAGTTTAATATGCGGTAAGGGACAAATCTTTAATGTTACGGAGTACCTAAGTGGATATTTCTTTTTTCCAAATATGAAAAATTTTGTAATGTTACGGAAAAAAAAAATATTTTGAAAAGTGGAAGAAAATTTTTCACCAAAAAAAAAGTAACCACTTAGCACTAAAGATTTGTCCCCGTAATGGGGTTGGAAGCTTAAGGAAGAATAAGGACTCAACATTAGTATCTAGCGACCACGTTAATCAAATACTGTACCTCAATTTCTGAAGGTGCAAGTTAACTTCATCTTCTTCCCCACTCTCCCATTTGATGTTTTACTTGTCGTTACTGCATTCCAAAACACAACAAATTGCAGCCAATGCGAACAAAAAATTCCAATAAGTCAGAGAAAAGTAGGGACAATCATACAGCTATGGTTATAAAAAATGGCATTGCGTGGTCAATGGTACCAACTATTACGTACGTGTCTAACAATTTTGGCCCTTGAATATAAACAAGAGTTAATACCACCCATTATTAAATATGTATAGTTCAGAAGCAGACTTTGAGCGCAGTTGTAACTATCATTACATCATTGGCAGTATGTCACTAAACCTCGCTGTGTTTGGTACAGGAGAAATTTTTTGGTGACCAAGAATCATGATTAATGGGAATTCAGTAGAAATTGAGTTTACTTGGAATCTTACGAAAGATGTGTTTGGTTCGCCAAAATATTACCGGGAATATTGGGTAAAAATTACTGATTCCATATTTGGTTTAGAACGAAATATGACTTGGAATATGAGGTTATTTTACAAAAATAACCCCAAACTATTTTTACTTTTGTAATTGATAGATTGAGTCTAGATTTTTATGTGTATTGGAGTATTTTTGTCTCAAAATTTATTGTTGTGCTTTCCCTTTACTTGGTATTCTGATTGGTATTCCGAATTACCATATTATTTTTGGTAATCTGAATAGTGACTTTTCTTTATAAATCAAATTACCGGTAATCCTTGGATATCCGGGAATCGTAATTTATTCCTTCTACAAAACGTGTAATTACATTTACCAAAGAAGGATTACCGGTAATCATCTCCAAAAACTTGAACCAAACACCCATTTCTTCCAATCCTTTTCTTTTTCAAAATAAAAAATGTGGGTGAATCAAACTCCCATTCATATCTAGATAATCACAATCCCCGGTAAAATCAGGAATATTCAGTTTAGCCACGATCCAATGGTTCTTTCAATCCCTTTTTATTTTCCATGATTCGGGGGTTGTTATCCATATTGTGAATTGGGATATACCATCCCAAAAGTTAGCTCAAAGAGTGAGAGTGTTTAAGGCCTTATAAAAGGCACATTAGTTGCACATCTAAACCAAGGTGGGACTATATATCTCAACACGTCCCCTCATGCATGTAAAGAACCTTGGGATACACCATTCCAAAAGCTAGCTCAAAGAATGAAAGTGTCCAAGGCCTTATAAAGGCCACATTAGTTGCACATCTAACCAATGTAGGACTACATATCTCAACACATATGAAATGCTCTTATATCTGAGAGGGCATCGAACAAGGCCCGTCTTCAGAGACAAATACATGGAACTTAAGTTGAATAATAGATACATAGCACCCTATTTAATACGAATATAATCAATTTGGAGTAGTTTATTAACTAAATTAATGAGTCGTTCACACACACAACTTGAGAGTCTAAACTTTTGCAAGTGCTTTGGCATTTCAATCAACCTCTGCTTCTGTGTTGGAGTAATTACTTAGTGCGGCTCTCGGTCTTATTTTTTCCAAATGTACAGTACTACTTCCATTTGAATTTGTTGTTACATTTTTATATGTTGTCAACTTTCCAAATGTACAGTAATTACTTTGGCATATATATCTTTTGTGTACTTTGCAATAATGGAAATTAATTCTGTTTTAAATCTCTTTATGGTGTCAAATCCTTTACAACCATATAATTAGAAATACATTCTCATGATCTTCATCTATGTTACACGGACACCAACTTGGGACTCAAGATATGACACGACACAACACTTCGATATGTTAATTATAAAAAATGTTAGATTTCGAGTTGTTAGGATAAATTTTGATATTAAATAATATTTTTAATTTATATAATGTATATTATATTTAATATTCAATAATTTAACAAAAAAATGAAGCTAAAATAAAATGGGAGAAGTTATAGTTACTACCTCTTATTACCAAATCATAATCGTTGATTTTCGCTAATCTAACAGTTATAAATTATTGAAAATTAATAGTTAATTAATAATTATGACCCAATAAATTACAACCATTAGATTGATGAAAATTAACAGTTAAGATTTGGTAATAAGAAAAAGAGGTAGTAACTATAACCTCCTCTAAAATATAATACCCATCAATTTTGTAAACAAAAATAAGATATCACAAATATTTATATTAAACTCAATGAAATGGTAAACGTAATCCAACGAATTTAATAGTTGAAACTAAAAACGCATCGCAATGCAACCTTTGAACCCTTTTTTAAGTCTATGCAACGCGTGTTGGAGCGTCGAACATGATACATCCGACTTTTTGAAGTGTCGATATATCATAAATCTCCATTCTTCTAAATAAAAATAAATAAATTTGAGGACAAAATTAGATCAATCCATACATTGTATGTTATATAAATGGGTTATGAATAAGAAGTTGAAGAGTCATATCTCTTCATTTCTGAACAATTGTGTCTCTTCGTTTGCGAAAAGTCATGTCTTTTCGTTTCTGAACAGTCGTGTCTGTTCGTTTGCGAAAAGTCAGGCCTCTTCGTTTCCGAACAGTCGCGCCTTTTCACAATCGAATTGTCATGTCTCTTCATTTCTGAATAGTCATGACTATTCGTCTCGTGACCGTTCATCTTCTATATATACATGTGTCTAGTGAATTTAAATAAACGTTTTTTCCTAACTCCTTACCAAAACTCGGTCAAAACTAATCCTTCCATTCTGCTTTGGTCTGCGATTGATCAGCATTCGTTGTGTCCCGTCGATGTTGTTTCTTTTAGTAGTGCCTCCGTCGAAACAGAGATAACTCGTTTTATCCTGGGAGCCGTTTGTCCATTAACCTTAGACACCATAGAAGAGGCAAAATTGCTTTAAGAACACAGTACTTAATACTGGGCTCGGGTTTAATTTCCTGCAATTTTTATCCTTGAATATTGTATTTTAATTTTCTGTAATTGCATATAATTTTTGTGTTTTTTCTGTGATACCACCAAAATCAAACACAGTTTTTTGCGCCGCTGTCGTTAACATTCTCCACAATTTAAAGCTTGTAAAGGGGCATATTGGATATAGAACCATTCATGTATGTTCAGTTCAGTTATGTATGTTCACTGACAGCTTAAGATTTTGAGATAATAAATTTATGACATGGTTCAGAAGTCCTCTTGCTTTACTAGTTCTTTTTTTTCTATCCTCATGGCCTCTTCAACCTCTTCTCTGCTTCTACAACTGAAAATGTTGTCTCCTCTCCTATATCTCAAAGACTTCATTGAGTTCAATGATCAATCTTCCTATAAAATTATATGGCACAAACTATCATACCTGCTACAAACAGTTTTGGTCTTTCGTTGTTGCTTGTAATCTTGAAGTTTAAGTTAACGGTGACACTCCATGCCCTCCTGCCACTATTGGCCGAGGTAATGCTTCCACTTCAAATCATTAGTACTCTTACTGGGTGCATCAAAATTAGTTTCTTAATCTTGCTCTCGCCGAACCATGTGATGTTGAAACTCTCACAGAGATAGAGATTACTTCTGAAAATGCACCTACTTAAGCCTGGCTTAAAGATACATCATACACCTGCTCAAGCCTACCTTAAACACACTTATGCTAATTGCTCCCGCACCATGTTTCTCTAGGAATACCTATGCTCCATTAAAAAAAGTTATTTCTCAGTAAGTATTAATTACAATCCATCCTATTAATGACCTAGACCTTGTCATTCATGCCCTTAATGACCTTGGTCCGAACTATTAAGTAAAATGTATATAACACTTCGGTTTAATAATCGTAAAGGTGCAAACCTGAAAGCCTGAGTGCCAATATGAGATTGCATGAAAATTTAATCCGTTTGCTTACACAGATAGTTATACTTATAAGGAGATCATGTCTACCAGGAAATACACAATGCAAAAACTAATGATAAGCATCAGACAGACAATGAATATTGTCATACATTAAGTTTGTTCATCTCCCTCCTTATAGCACTAGCCCTCACTAAGCTCCCAATGGTGTTAATAGCCAACTTGAGATCCTCCAGTGGATTGCCAGGTACCACAGTCTTGTACAAATAGCTATCAAATGTCATCTTCTGCACATAGTCATCAGCACACATCTCCACAAAAGCTTCCCTAGCAGGATTGGACCTATAAAACACTTTCTGAAGCACATCCAAGACCTTGTAAGTGGGCCAATAAGTTTTATCCCACTTCTCCAAGTACTTCCTCAAATCTCCTTCTTCCACCATCCTCTTCCCACTCTCTGAACCTTCAACAATTGCCTCTGCACACATCCTCCCACTCTTGGCTGCAAAATAGATTCCCTCTCCAGAGCATTTGGTCACATAGCCAGCAGCATCACCAACAAGCGCAACTCTACCCGACAATCTTCGTGGCCGGGGATGTTCCGGTATAGGGTGAGCCTCCACCCGGATGATTTTCCCTCCCAAAATCTTGTCCTCAGCTCTTTTCCTTGTTGCTAGTTGGAACTTCTTGATGTCTCCCTTGTGTGTCACGGTACCAGTGCCAACAGCCACATGGTCACACTTTGGAAACACCCACCCATAGAAATCCGGAGAAACATCATCACCCACGTACATCTCCGCAAGGTTCTCATAATACACCATTTTATCATCCGGAATTTTTATCCTCTCCTGAGAAACCATTAGTGTTACCTTTCAAAAATTATAACAATACTCAAACAAAAACACCACTACACAAAAGCCCTACATTTTTTTTTTTTTTTTAAAAGTTACTAACTTTGAGAAATTTCCAACACCCCACAAAAAGAAATCGTGAAATTAAAAATAATATAAATCATACAAATTAGAAGAACATACCTGAAATGCAATGGCGTAGGCATATTCACCAGCATCAATAGATTTGGCGACTCTAGAATTAGCACCATCAGCACCGATGACAGCATCAACTTCCAAAGTGCGTTTCTCACCGACCCCACCGGTTTTGCCGTCATAGCAAGTGTAATGCAGAACGTAGGGTGAGTTCTTATCCTTGGGGATATCCATTTTCAAGAACAACCCGTTTATGATATTCGCCCCGTTTTCCTTGGCCCGGTCCCTGAGGTAAGCGTCCAGCACCTCACGCCGAACCATTCCGATGTACTCGTGCGGCTTAAGGGTCCGGCCAATGTCGACGGCGACGTTCGACGGAGATATCATCTTCATCTTCGTCACGCGCCGGTCTATGATGTCCAATGGCAGGTCGAACTCTCCAACCATGCAGAGTGGAATGGCTCCGCCGCATGGTTTGCAGTTGTCAAGCTTCCGTTCGATCAGGAATGTTTCGACGCCACCCTTCGAAAGCGTCTCGGCGGCGGCCCCGCCTGCCGGGCCGCCGCCTACGACGGCGACCCGGAGATTACGACCCTGTACCTTGGGGCTGGATTTTCCGGCGATAACATTGAACTTCCGTTGGAGAGTGATGGATTTAGGTTGGGCGGCGAAATGGGAAGTTTCCGGCGAGGATTGGCGGAGTCCGACGAAGGATTTGAAAGCGATGGAGTTCATGTTGATGGAGTGGTGAGAGAGTGGGCAGAGAAGAATTTTGAGGGTATTTTCTTATTTTGTATTTGTTTTGGTGGATATGGTTTGGGATTTGAGGGAGTTTGTAGCCGTTGGATGGATGGCATCGAGGGTTGAGATTTCATGTGGATAGATTTTGGGATCATGGTCCTTGCATGGGAAGTGTTTGTCCGCGTTACTGATTTTTGAGTGGCTCACATGTAGCCACGTTACGCAGTGAATCTAAATGCTGTTGTCAGTTCACAGTTCACACTCTACATGACATGCATTCAATAATCTGTTTCGCAAATTCAATCGGAGTAAATGTAGTTGGTGGCAACCCCCAATAGTACCTCAGATCTTAACTGAATGTACAAGGATTTCCTTTCGTTCGTTTGCGGTATAAAATTTGAATAAAATAAGGAAAAAAGTGTTTACTTTTTTTTTTTAAGTGACACAACTTATCTTCTTTCATTATCACAAAGAGGTGAGACTCACATCTTTATATTTTTTTTATTTACTATCTCTCTTTCTTTATCTATCTCTTTCTCTCATTTAAAATGACACAACTTTACATACTTTCAAATGATACACACTTTTCCATAAAGTAAATACTTATAATTCTTTGTAGGGTTGACAAAACGAGCTAACTCGCCCAACCCCCATGTAACCTAAAAAAATGAGTCGGGTTAGAGTTAATTCGAAAAAAAAAACGAGTAAGAAAATTCAACCCGACCTGAGTCAGGTTAGGGTTGGCTCGCGGGTTGGCTTAAAAATATAGCTCGTGGGTTGATTCGAAAAAATAACTCGCGAGTTAGCTCGAAAATTGGCTCCCGGATTGGCTCGTTTTCAGCCTATTTAAATGAACATGTAGTATTAATGCACCAGCTATGTGGCTTCTATTAGCTTAAACTAAGGATTACAAAATGAGAAATAAAAGCAAAATATTCTAGTTTCGAATTTTCTTCACAACAAATTTGCACCAACATCAAGAAACAACCAGAACCACTTGTTACCAAGTGAGTGATATATTTGAACCAAACAAAGCTAGCACAACCTAACAATATAAAAATGATAGGGATGTGAGAATATTAGGGACTTAGGTTTAGAGAAGAAAGAAAGATAATAACAGCATATGTGAGTTTTGTCTATTTTTGTATATTATATTTTTTATTTTTTTTATAAAAAAGAAAATTCAACCTGCGAGCCGGCTCGCTTGACCCGTTGATTAGTTCATTTTTTTCCGAGCTGGCTCAGGTCGGATTGGCATCTCATTTTTGCCAACCCAACCTGACTTATTTTTTACACGTTACGAGCCAACCAGACATATTAGCTCATTTTTACCAACCCTAATTCTTTACTGTTCAGAAAAAAATTATTTCTTCCTCGAAAAAGGATTAATTTTATCATTTCTCTGGTTATTATAGTCTAATACATCCTTTGTACCAATAAAAAAGTAACCTTATTAAATATTGTGTGGATAGCTTTGGGTTATCCAAAAATAAAACTGTAGTTGGTGGCATGTCTAGTATGTAATAAAAGAGAATTCATTCTATGACATTATCATATGGAATTTTTGTGGATTTAGATTTGACTTGTAACATCTTGGTTAATGACTAATCTCATTTGATTTATTTGATATATTATATAAGTTTACACATTAATTACACATGATTTCAGTCACAAAATTTTAAAAAGAAATAATTAGAATTAAGAGTTATTTTATAATAACTTTATATTTTTTTAATTATAAGATATTACGTTAAAGAGAAAAAAATTAATTTTTATCATGTAAGAATCTATCACAATTGATTATAAGTATAGTAGTTAATAGTTATATTAAAAAAAATTGTTTTTTTTCTCTTCAACAAGACTTATTTAAAAATAAGAAAGAATGTGAATTTTTTCATAGTATAAATATATTAACATACTATGTAAAATATATTGATTAAATTAATAATTTTGTTATTTAATATTAATTATTAAAATAATTAGAAATTTAAAAATATTTTGGGACGATTGAAATAATTCAAAATGTGATTTAAATTAAACTCAAAAATAAGAAATCTCATTTAAATGTGATTTACATGAGATTTCGCAAGACTTTTTATCCTTGCCTTTTATCTGTTACACTTTTGAACGAAATAGCGCTGCTGTTTGAGTTTTTAGACAAAATTTTGAATAATATTGCATTTTCCGGTTTGGTGAACTTACCGTATCAATCCACTCCAAGGACATGCGACATGTTCGTTGAGAATTCAATTTAAAGGGTTACCCCATATTCTCCAATTCTTACCTTGTAATGGTGTTACAAATTGCAACATGCACAAATTCTAGACTTCAGCATGCATTTGTGATTTTACTCACTAAGTTGTAACAAAATATATGGGTAGTTGCAGTAGTTTTGAATCAGTATAGTAAAAGTTGGTATATCAAACTATCTACTTCCCGCTTTTGCATGCTCAAGACATTTTCTCTGCGTGTTGATGCCAAATTGTAATACAATCTCAATCATTCTATGATTTAAAATTCTTATCAGCTAGCTTAGTTACTATAAAAAACTAACCAAATGCTTAGTGGCCACAGAAGAGCATAGAGGTATAACTTGCTAGACAAACATGAAGTTCAATCTGGTGCTAGTTACTATAGTAGCCACCATTTTTGGAATTGGGCTTGAAGGATGCCATTGCAAGATTGTGCAGTTCATTTTTGGAGACTCACTCTCGGATGTTGGAAATAACAAGTATCTGTCTAGAAGCCTTGCTCAGGCAAGCTTACCTTGGTATGGTATAGATATGGGTAATGGGTTACCTAATGGAAGGTTCACTAATGGTCGCACAGTTTCTGATATTATAGGTAATCTTTTCACTTTTTAGCATGCACACACATTGTAATCAGTGAACATAACTAAATTGATATGAGCATGTGTTTTGATTCTTTTGATTTTCAGGAAGCCTATGTGGCTGCTTGATCTGTTTTGTTTTTTTAATTTTCTTTTGATTCTTTTGCCAAAAGTGATATGATGTTCCCCTTTAATTTTCAGTATTAATAAATGTATTTCAAACCTCACCCCAAAATAAAAAAATTTCAAATCCATATTGCTGCTACAAAGATATAGTATTGACTTTCTAAAGTTTATCCATGTTGTGTTAATCAATCTGTGAACAAATTTGAAATGAGAGTTTGTCATTTTATACATTTTCAGGTGACAAGTTGGGCCTCCCAAGGCCTCCTGCATTCCTGGACCCATCTTTAACCAAAGAAATTATACTAGAAAAGGGAGTGAACTATGCTTCTGGGGGTGGCGGCATCTTGAATGAAACTGGCACCTATTTTGTGAGTTGCGAGTGTCAATTGTCATACTAGCTATGTGTCATATAACCATTAGAAAGCCTATGATATATTTTGTATGAATAATTATGCATCTTGCAGATTCAAAAGTTATCTCTGGACAAACAAATTGAGCTGTTTCAGGGGACACAACAACTAATTAGAGGCAAAATTGGAAAAAAGGGGGCAGAAAAGTTTTTTCGGGAAGCTAATTATGTTGTTGCTTTAGGGAGCAATGACTTCATCAACAACTACTTAATGCCGGTTTATAGTGATTCATGGAAATACAATGATAACACCTTCATGGACTACTTAATTGGAACACTAAGAAGACAACTGAAGGTTTATTTAGTTTACTCTTAAGACAACCTCTTGTTTGCTTTGAAAATATTTTTTTGCACCTAATAATAAAAATCTATTCAATTATGATTTTTTTGTGTTTAGCTACTTCATAGTTTAGGAGCAAGGCAACTCGTGGTTTTTGGGCTGGGTCCAATGGGCTGCATTCCCCTTCAAAGGGTGCTTAGTACAACTGGGAATAATTGTCGAGAAAAAGCAAACAAACTGGCTCTTAGCTTTAACAAAGCTACAAGTGAATTAGTTGATGACTTGGTGAAGCAACTTCCCGATTCAAGTTATCTATTTGGAGATGCATATGATGTTGTTTATGATGTGATTAGCTATCCAATTAAGTATGGTAAGTAAATATGATACTTTTCTCACTAACCGTATACATACACCATTGGCAAGTATCTAAATGAACCTGATACATGTGATGCTTGTGAAACACTTAAAAGAATGAAAGCACAGTGCATATAATAGTATAAAGAAATTGTAAAAATATGTTAGCTTGTGTGCTTGCTGAATGCTGAGTTATATATACTTCCATTGAAATTATGTTTGCTTTGTAGGATTCCAAAACGCAGACTCACCCTGTTGTTCCTTTGGGAGTATTCGACCCTCCCTTACATGCACACCTGCATCAACACTGTGCAAAGATAGAAGCAAATATGTGTTTTGGGATGAGTACCACCCAACAGACAGTGCTAATGAGCTAATTGCAAATGAGCTCATCAGGAAATTTGGATTTTCACGTGTTGATGAAACGGGTGTTCCTTCACCAGCACCTGCTGTTGCTCCATCTCCAGAATACTAATGATACAAGGGTTTTCTTCCCTGATGCTGGAAATGTTCATCATTAGTGGAAACAAGTATCTTTCTGGTCCATGACCATGACCAGTCAGTTACATACAATTTCTTTTCATGGTTTGAGCGTGTCTTAATCATCAGTAATTCATAATTTCTTGTTATAATAAGAAAGAAACTTATGATATTTCCATTCATTCTGCATCACAGATGTAACCCATCAGTTAAGTGTGTAATACTCTATTGTCTCTAAATTGGGCCGCAGAGTTATTTCTATCAGGTTTAATAATTTGTTTATCTGAATAGGAATATGATCTCTGTATGACGTGTTGCGCTATGTCAAAGACTTTTAATTTTCTGCGATTTTTACTTTATGCCTCTCAAGTATATTTAAATTAATCTCCATACTTACGTCCAATATGCAAATATGTGTTTCTGATCTTATTGACTATAATATGTGCTCCTAAGAATTCCACTAACTTCATATGCTATAATTAATATTATTTTATTGGCCTCAAACTTTTATAGCGGAATGGTAGACAAAAATATGTTCCTACCGACATTATCGATCGCTTTCTCCATTGAACAAGAAACAAATTACTAGTATTAAATAAGAGATACGAGATACTCTTTAGGTGTACTTAGTGGCCAACTAACATGATTACATAAACTAAACAAACATTTTAGATTAGTTCCTGATTCACTTTCCAAGAACGTGGTTATGCAGCCTCTGTCAACTTGCTGTGGGTGGAAAAAATGGTTCCTCACTTTTAATTCTCCATATCTCTTTTTGGACTTGTCCGTTTAATGCCAAGTGCATCCCCAACTCGTAGACAACGTAACATATTAACCTTTGTTTATTCAACGACTTAATACACAAAGTGGTGGAGAACTTTTGGCACCATGTATTGTGGTTGTTGAGATATACAGTCCCACATTGGTTGTATGTGTAACTAATGCGGTCTTTATAAGGCCTTGGGCACTCCCACCCCTTGAGCTATCTTTTGGGGTGGTGTATCCCAAGGTTCTTTACATGGTATAAGAGCCTCGCCGCCCCCCACTTTCTCTTGTGACGTTTCTTAACACAGGTAGACTGGGCCTGTTGCATTGTCCACTCTTTAAACCCAATGGGCTTCTCGTGTGAGGGGGCGTGTTGAGATATATAGTCTCACATTGGTTGTATGTGCAACTAATGTGGAGTTTATAAGGTCTTGGGCACTCCCACCCTTTGAGCTAGCTTTTGGACTGGTGTATCCCAAGGTTTTTTACATGGTATCAGAGCCTCGCCGCCCCCCGCTTTCTCCACTTTCTCTTGTGGCGTTTCTTAGCACAGGTAGGCTGGGCCTGTTGCATTGTCCACTCTTGTGTGAGGGAGCGTGTTGAGATATATAGTCTCACATTGGTTGTATGTGCAACTAATGCGGCCTTTATAAGGCCTTGAGCACTTCCACCCTTTGAGAGCTACCTTTTGGAGTTGTGTATCCCAAGGTTCTTTACATTATTCTTAACGTGGTATTTATTGGTGGTTAATTTGGTTTGTTTTCCATACGGATTCTTTGAAGGATTTGCACAAAATAATCCCGAAAGTTTCTCAGTTACTGACAATAATAAATTTTGAAGATAATAGAACTGATGAAATATCAGCTTTTGAGTAGAGCACAACTTAGCAGTAATGCTATTAATTGAAATTTCAGTTCTTATTTGATACATAAAACTGAATTTAACCAACATGAGTGTCTGATAAGTTCCCATATAATCATACTGAACACTGGGGATTCAACTCTAGTTGGTCCTTTCTCTCATCACACTTAACTACCTCTAGAATTCAACGGTTATGTCTATTTAAGATGCCTACTAGCTATGTAGAGGAACTAAAAATCAACACATCATTTCACACATTATGGTGCTCTTGGAGTGTGACGACCGTTTGCCCCTGATGGTGCATAGTCATGGAGTTCCAAATCCATCCTATGAGCAATGGTTGGTTCCTCATAGTACCAGTTTCTCTGAGTGGTAACCTGTGTTTGAGTACATGGAACATAAGTTCTTTGACTTTATGTACATGGTTAAATAAATGCATTGTATATATGTCTAAAGCAACTTAGGAATAGTCTTAGGATATCAAATTCTACCTTGTTGTTGGTATTCTCCAGAGTAAGGTGAACTTGGGGACCTTGCATCAGGTTTTCAGTTCCTGATTATATAAACAAGTCATTAGTAAAAAGACTAAGAAGATGAAGGAGAACTACAACACTACAAGAATAAAATTAGGAATATTGTAGTAGAATTTACTTGTAACTGGGACTGCTTTCAAGCATATAAGATGAGAAAGCCCTAGAAGAATCACGAATAAACGAAAGAGAGTGGCTGTCATCCTTGTAATATATTTAATTCTCAGCAATAACTCTAGCCTGTGTCGCTTCCCATATGCTAGTTCTCAATTTATACACGTACATGGGATTTTTTCAGCATTTTTTTTAACATGGAAAGTGGATGATGGGGAGGCAAAGTCATAAAGGTGATAGCAACTCATCATTTTTGGGGGGAACAACGTGTTCCCACTCTTTGGAAAGCTTTCATCAGCTTGTGGCCTTTTCGTGTGTGAAAACTCAAGGCCAGTATTAGGGTGCAGAGGCTAGTTATTAGGTGAACATGGAAGTTATATTTTAAGTCAATATGGAGCACAATATGAAAGTGGAAAGATGACATAGAAATGATGGTGAAGCAAGTCAAATTCTAGTGGGAAATGCCATTAAATCTTAAGGACATCCTCTAGGCTTTATGTGAACAGTATAGAAACAGTCAAGATATATGGTAAGCAAATTTTCTAATTTATAGGTATTTTCTGGTTCCTTATATCGTGTCTAATGACTAATTATTTTTATATTCTTTTGTTTCTAATAACAGTGTTAGTGTAAGAGTAAAAATTGTTAGTTGTTCTGACTCTGCCTAGTGCATGTACATAAATTTCAGGTGGTGGAAGTCATCATGTTAACATATTATTGCTAGTGGGAACAATTTTCTCCACTAATACTGACTTAGTGGCAACTTTGCTCTCTGCAGACCACACAAAACTCCAAGCCCCTACCTAGACATAGAAAAGGAAGCTATTGAAGTAAAGTTTTTCTCTCTGAAACAGTAAAACAGCAACTAGAACGTGCAAGTAATTCAGCCACACATCTCTGACATAAAGGGGGTTTGATCTTGCTAATATGTATGTGTTAACAAAATAACTTGACACAGAAGATTTGTGTTCCTTTCATGAGTGAACCAACAAGGAAAATGATAGTTTTACATAAGTGATACGCACAACCACTCTTGAGAAAAAATGGTTAAATTCTGATGAATAGTTAGTTATCGAATTCTCTCAATAACTATGTATATCGGGTATCAGATTCCTCATACCCATAAATCATTTTGCTGAATTGTGTACCGATATAAACCGTGCAATCTTACCCATTGATACTACATTCCTAGTAGCCATACTATATTTACTCCAACATGTTTAGATTAACTTATTTTGAGCTTAAAAAACTTTTTTTTTTTTACACTTTTTTAGAAGAACTTTAAGAAAAAGAAAATAGTAAATATTTTCCTCTTAAAAATTGTTACCAATCATGAACTAACATGTATTTTTCCTTAAAAGGATAAAAAAAACTCACAAGATAAATTGTTACTTTGTAAACTACGTGTTTTGGAGTCAAAATTGAATTTGAGTCAAACAAAATAAATCAAAATGTACTTCAACCTTATATTTATGCTGTTAATATAGATTTTATTTTCATAAATCAATTGTGTATCAAATATTAATTCATGATCCACGCTAGTTAAATATGTAGGTTAAGAACAAGATTTGAAAGTTAATAAATTAAAGAGATATATATCTTTCAATTAGAAACGAAGAAGTAGCGAGCAAGCAAATAATTATTCAGCTAGATATATGGATTTGTTTAATGTTCTTCTCGATCCCTCCCATCCCTTTTTCTAAAAGCTAGTGTGAATATGAGCAAATTATTCTTCTCCTCTTTTGAAAGAAGAAAGTTTAAGATGAGGAGGTTATCTCATTTTAAAATCAAGTATATTCAAGATCTAATAAAAGGAGTAGATTATATTTAAAAAAAAAAATTGTTTACAAATTATATTATGTACCATAGGTAGTACATAGCTCAAATAGTATATACTATCCATAATATATAATGTAATTTATAAAAAAATTATAAAAATAACCTTTATACTCCTAATAAAATATAGTAATAACTAATAACATATGACCTGCCAATTAAAGGCTCGTCGAATCCCAAACTTTTGAGGTGACACTATTCAATCTTTATCAATTGCGACATTCTTCGTTGGCTAATTTTACTTGTCCTCTCTTCTCAGTGTTCACACCAAGAAGTTCCCGCAAGTTGACTATGTTTTGGGAGTATTTAGGCTTTTGTTCATGCACCATTAACTTTCTTTTAGCCAATTGTAACTATATGACTAAGTTTCAGTCCACATTTCCACGTAAATTTATATTATATTTATCACCGTGGTATTATTTATTTATTAGGGTTATGCCTTTTCTGAAATGACTTTGGTTAAAATTTCTGCTTCATTGTCTGGCTAATTTTTTTATTTTTTTTATTGGTAAAATTTGTCTGGCTAATTAAATTACCTTATTCAGCATCCAAATCCAAATTAATTAATACTGACCTACCATGTATTGGAACTTTGGTTATGCCGTGGTATTAGGGTTATGCCTTTTCTATAATGACTTTGTTTAACTTTTCTGCATCATCAGTATCTGGTTAAAATATATTATTCATCTTCCAAATCCAAATTAATTAGTACTGACCCACCATGTGATGAAAGTTTGATTTTTGAAGTAAAAAAACTCAAACTTCTGAGTGAAATATTTTAGAAATACTTGGCATATTAAATTGATCTTTTTAAATTTTTAAACATCTACTCAGTATCTAAAAGTTTAAAGTAAGTATTAAAATATGGTCCAAATTGATGTTTAAAAATACAATTGGGAGCTAAATTGATGTATATTTAAATATTGACCAATTAAATTAATATCTAAAATCTTTAAAAGACTAATTCGATCAAACATGTGGGTCGTGTTAATAACAATAGGGTAAAAAATAACTAAACCAAACTTATTAATAAGTTAACTCAGCCCAATATCATTTATATGTGGGTTTTGTCCATTGAATCCGCAAAGCGAAACCATTTTTAGGCTAGTAATATCACATGTTGAAACCAATTATGAAGTGGTATAGAGACTGGTAGTAATATAACCCAATAAAGTGTTTAACCCTTCTTCTAATCGTGGGCCAGTGTTCTTTTTATTCAAAACGGGGCAAGGGCTAGCAGTATCACACTTCTAAATAATATGGCCAAGTTTTGTTTTCGCTCTTAGTACAATTCATGTCATGTTTGGGCTTACAAATGTAAGGTCAGGAATGGAGGCTGGCCGAAGCATATGTCTAGGTTGGATAGCTCAGATTAATACTACTATTTCAGTCTTTCGGACCAAAAGAAAAACTATCATACACTTCCAATTTTTTCTTGCTAGTTAAACAAAGTTTTTTTTTTTTTTTTTTTTTTATAAACCACACATATATTTCACAAGAGACAATTCTGTTTGAGTTGAGAATATTCATATCATGGTGGGACTAACTCTCCTAAAGAAATTTGTTTGCTTTCACAAAGACTTAAATCCAAGACCTTACTTAAGTGGAATCAAACATGTACCACTTGAACCAACTTTTTTTGCTCGAGTTAAGCAAAGTTAGTTTGTCAAAATGAGAATCAAAATAAGTTGGTATTCTTGATAACTCTTGATTTAATGAATAGACTCAAGTTACAACATTCTCGTTAATTAACTAGCCTTAAGTAAATTCTAAATAATTTTTCTAATTATGTATAGTTACTTGCACTTTCGCACTATAATAGCAAAGGCTTGTCAGCGGAAAAGCAAACATTTTATTATTCTTACAGATCCCAAGTCACAAAGGTGAAGACTCGCCTCTTCAAAATTATGTAGGAGAAATTTCATGGAGTATTGTAGAAGTGCTGCAAACTATTTTTATAAAAGAAAAACATCTCTATAGTTGTGGCAGAAAAAGAAAAACATTTCTATAGTTGTGGCAGAAATATTTTTCTGTCACAAATCATATCTTATTAATTGTAATGTGTTTTTTTATTTATTAGTGAGGCTCACTTTTTATGTGTGTGGTTGGCTCCCTTTTTCTATTACAGCTGCAGAAAATTAAAGTCCATAGTATAAATATGTTAAAAATAAGGGTGTGTTACATATAATATAAATTTGTTTAACAATACAATATTAAAGCCTTTATGAAAATGGACTATTGTTTCATCTTATCGTCTTCATTCTTTTAATGTTAAATCTTCTACGTGAACTTGTATATTGTCCAAGTTTCAAGTCTAAAAAACTCTCCGGAGAAATGTGTATTAGATATTATATAAATTTATCAAAGATAGGAATGTGTTAGATATAATGTAATAAGAGAAATATAATAAAATTATTCATGCATATTCACCGAAAAACTTAAACTTAGCTGTTGAGAGAATTGGTTCATAACTAAAAATACCAATGTCAGCTAAACATGATATAATAATAATAATAATAATAATAATAATAATAAGGGATTAATATTTATTTTTTAAAAGTATATAAAATTATGTTATTTTAGTTAATATTTCTGTGTTTTATAATGAGAGAAACAGAAATCGTAAATGGAGAAAATGAGAGATTTTTAATTTAAATATTAAATTTAACTAAAATAACTTCCCTTTAAAAGGACAAATATTTTTCAATAATAATAATAAATGTGATACACAATAACACCTATAACGAAAAAAAAAATAATAAAATAAATGGACCTGTAAAATTTACGTGATTCAATAAATACATGCTTATATCCCTGGGAGAATAATATTTTTTGCTACAAGGGAAAAAGAAAAACTAATGCAGTTAACGTTAAAATCAATAACCAATATGTTCATATTAGTCTATTAGCAATATAATGTTAGTTCGCTTATAAACGTAATGAGTTGCGGGCTACGGATTTATGGGTATTGGGCCTTAAATTAGATCGACTGTCAGCCTAATTAGTTAAATCTAAATATCTATTTACCAATTAACGAACTGACAAAGTGAAAAGAGTAGGAAACTAGTTTATAAAATATAAAAGCTACTAGACCTAACTTCCAACAATATGTTGTGAAGCCAAAAGAAGTCAGCAATGAAGATGAGGAATTGAGGATGTTTTAGCCGGAAGAATAAAAAGTAAGGGGGTGTTTGATTCACGTAAAAAAAAATTTATTAGGAAAATGTAATTATTAAGGATCTGCAAGGAAAGTGAATTAGATAGAAAAGTTTTAAAAAAGTTGTTTGAGTTG